CAGTCTCTCCACAGCTCGCCACTCCCGCCTCTGCATCGTCCGAAGAGTTGATCAGAGATCTCAAAGAGCAGCTAAAGTGAGTTTCTCCCTCTGAATCATTTGTGTTCCATTTTACTCGTGATCGTATTACTGTCCAGAGCTTAATCATAAAAGTCGGCTTCTTTCTCCTCTCCCCTGAAGGCGTTCTCAGGAATCACAAAAAGAAATGTCTGTATTGCTGAACATGTATAAAGTTATTCCAAAGGATCAACGCGATAAAGCTGCATTGTTGCAATGCGAAGCGAAACTTCGTTCGGAGCTTGCTGAAGCACGCGTGGAGTTGGGACGTTTGCACTCAACCATACTAGATGTTCAGCAACAAAACACTCGACTTCAGCAACAACTGCAACAACAACAAAGACGGCCGTCTCTCACCTCACCCGCATCGGGCACTTTAAAAGCTTCTCCAGTCGAGCGGACCCCGCCAACCGCATTATCCGGCTCGGTGGCTTCCCCATTGGCACTGCAGAAAGCCTCACCGGAGGATAGAGTCCAGCTAACGTCTCACACAGGTGCGACTTTGCTCAGCACTGGTTCAAAGTCGTCACATCCAGGTTACGATTGTAGAATCACCGAATTACAACTGGAATTGCAGCTTACCCGCCGCCGAAAACAGTCGTTAGAAGCCCAACTGGAAATATTCCAGCACAGACTACTTGCATCGGAGCAAAAAGAAGAAGTGTTGCTAAAAGATTTGGAGGTTAGTACAATGTTCACAAAATACTGAGAAAACTAGGTACATTAGTGTGCCGAATATGGTTGTACCCACTTGATATCCATTGAAGAAATGGTTAAATGTGTGGCATACGTTTCTTTGTATGATCCGTAATATTTTGTTATTTTGAGGATGATTTTCAACATCCTTTTCGCAGCTGGCGTTTCCAGATATTGTTCAAGTTGAACAGGCGTCGATGCCTGAATAATGTTGCGTTAACCGTAACTTTTAACGGTTCATGTGATATGTAGAAATCTCTTTGACCATACCTTTATCCTATAATAGTGATTCCTCAACCCTTGTCAAGTTGCTCATAGAAGTCTCGAACTCATGCTTCTCAGCGTCCCACCGTTTCTGTTTCTCATCAAATCACTAAATTATGTAATTGACATGGTCATCGTGAAGGATGTTCTCGTTTCTGCCGTCGCTTCGCATATAATAGCAACAATGGCGTGACCAAGTACCACTTTCAGTCCAATAATGAGTTCAACCACCGTTAAAATCGTCTGGACAACTTTCATCTTGAACACCTGTCCTGTAGTGCGTTTGATTGTCGCTGCATACCTAG